CTATTGTAAACCTAATTTGTGTGAACTTTTAGCAAGAATATATCTTTTGGTGAGACTTTAATTTATGGACAACCATTGAGTAACGCTGAAGTGAACTTAAAAATGTCGATCTCATTACCAGGGCTAAATGATGGTTACAAAGTAGTGTGAAGAATAAGGATTATGATTTACAATCGATAGTTAGGGTTAGGAATTAGATTTATGGTTTTCATCGCCCCCAAATGCACTGGTATGGCCGAGAGTGAAAAGAGTCTGCTCTCCCTCTCCAAATGCCCTCATATGGCCACGCGAATATATAGCCTCGGTCAGGGAAGTCCTTCTCACTGCTTTCTCATGGCGGAGGTGTTGTTCACAAAAGTGAGAGGACGAAAACCGAATTCCCGGCGCTCTAATCGAGTTGGTGGACACGGAGGGTCCACCTAGGGGAGTTGGAAAACCCTCATTCCAAACCAATGGTGTACATGGGCTCCAGTATCCTGAAGGAACAAATGGCGTACGAATCAATCGTTGATCACCGGCTACCATGGGACTGCATCTCCTCACGATGCTCCATTGCCTTGTGAATCACATCTTTAGGTCAAAGGTTCGGGGTGTGGCCGCCTCAGAAAACCACCTGCTTCAGTTTGGGCACCTGGGCAGTATCACAGCCTTCACACAAATCGAATGAGATTTGTGAGGCACATATGTATCTGGTGCTTACTTGTACCAATATTTATGTGTTTAAATAAAATTTAAAAAATATGGTTTTCATCATAAGTCGACATCAACTAAAATACTCAGACGCTATTTAGACAATATGGGAAATGAATTGCGCGCCGAAATCAGAAATTTGTCATCTTAAGCTTATTACGTTTTTCTATTAATTATAGTCTAGCTAGTTAGAATATAGTACTATTTGTTCATTTTACAATGCCTTAATAGTAATATGATTTCCTGCAGCAATTTGGAAGATTCTTCCGGTCTTCTACTTTGTCCGGACATTCCATATACCTATGAAAATTGTCGCTCTGGTTGTTAGAATGTTCATCTGTCTCATGACTACCGAAGAAACTCGGCTTTCATCATGAGACGTCATAATTATTCCTTCTAATCCAAGGGCAGAGTTTAAATGGTTTGAATACTTTTTCTGGTTAGCATTTTTTAGGGAGTTGGTTTTCTACGGAATGGGGTTGATAACCCCATGCCCAACCCCCCTCCTTTACCCGGGCTTGGGACCGGCAGTAGCCCCCAGAGGAGCTACAGGAGGAGTATGTAAGGTAAGTTAAGTAACGATTATCTATCGATATGAATTCACAAAGCCTTATCATTAGCCAGTGTAAATTAGTTCTGAATGATAAACAGTAGTCGTCATTTACCAATGCTTTTATAAGCTCCCAATCAAAGTGCCATACTTTTGATACTTTTATCATAATTTGATATTGTGAATTTTGTATACTGTCATTAGCCCTTATCTATGCAATTACAATATCCATTAACTGTTAAACTACATTAATTCATGTAATGTTTTTACCTGAAGTCATCGAACAGCGTTTTATTACAGTGCATCCCAAATCTTTCGTAGAAACGTATGGTAAATCAGAATATTCACGTTTCAATTGAAGTACATTCAATTGTTTTTCAATACTTATGTAGAAAAAGATACTTTTGTTATTTCATACAACTGACCAATAAATGTAGATGACATTGCGTGACCGATACTCGACAATGACTATCGTGGCTTATACTCTATGCTTTACAGTTAGCTCTATTCTTACTAGTAATAAAAAAGAGGAAGAACACAAGGTTAATGGTCATCAGTACAGGATCGTTACAATATTTCAAACACTTATTTATAAAACTCAATAGTTGGATTCATCAGTCAATTGACGCTAGACCACCATGGAAAACATGGAAACACTAAATGACCGTTTCCTGGTTGGAGCATACATGACCAGACCATACAGCAGATCAATTGAGTACCAGTATTTCTATGCAACAAAAACAACAACCGTAATCGTGGAAATAACGAAGGGCTGTGAGTACATGCAATCGGTACTAGTTTGAAGTGAAAACCTCCATAGAAACCATTCACGATTCAAATAAAAACTTGGAATGAGGGTAAAACGAAAACAATAAAATCAAAATAATCGACGGACATGCAATCAACATATATGAATAAAGTCATGAGAAAATAGTATCGAAACCTTTTTACTTCTTAGTTGAATCGTCTGTTACAAAATAACTTGATAAATTATCACCTAATAACCTTATTTCCTTGGTTTCATTTCCAGTGTGAATACTACCCTGTAGTTGTATTGTGTTGTATGTTCGCTGACATTCATGAACCAGTACAATGTGATGTTTATAGCCCTTTATTAGTTTCAAATAGAAAGGCGAACATGATTAAGTATTCAGTGATTTTGTTGGGGATGTCAAATCCCCAGAACTTACTTGATAAATGGCTTCATTTTGTAATTTTATTTTGAAAATTTAAATTTAGCTGTTTTCGCGTCAAAAGCGCTCTTTTTACCTTCAAGTCATATTTCCCACTTGTAAACTATCTTAAACGCTATTGGTCCATTGTTTCTATGAGTGTGCTATTTCATAATGATGCTGAAGGACAATTTGTTGCTGTATATATACGTTTGAGTTTTTAACCTCATTACTTGCTTGTACTCGGCTGATTACGGAATATATATTCCCCTACTTTGCCTTGGACTTCTTCATCTAGTTAACGGGGCCTGAAACAACAGATTAGATTAGCTTATCGTGTCATTGTGTCATTGGTTTTCGCTCGTTACCGCGAAATCGACTTAGTTCAAGCACATCAGATTTGTAGTCTCGTTTCGCAATAATGTAGTAGCATTACATTTGTTGAAGCTGGTTCTCACAACATTGTTTTCAAAAAAATTATGTTGCTTTGATGGAGTGTAACTACAATCACAGTTCATGATGATCCAAAGACGATAGCTATTTTTACTAAGATCAATTCCATTCAACTTGTGGGTACGAAATCATCACAAGAAATAACGAAGTCTATTTCCTACTGAACATCCTGCATAACATTCGCAGAAATGTGAGCAATTTGCTGCTACAATGAACGATGGGCTGGTGAAATCTTGTAGAAGTCGTATACACTAATTTCATACACAACAAACAGATTGTGGCCAACTGTTATTTTGTGGGATCGTTTTCTTCGTCTCCTTTGGGATCTCATAGCTGAACCTACGTGGACGCTATTCTTGAGTAGACTCCAACATATCACAATAAACTTTGAACTAAACAGAACAAAATCGTTTAGTTAATGACTACGTAATGTATAAGCGAATGGAGTTTAGCAAAATCAACCTACAAGGTTTCTATTCAAAATGAACAGTCTTATAACAAACAACTTGTCACTAAGCACAAATTCAAAGTAAACACATTTGTGATTATCTTATTTTTCAAGTACCTATAAGTGTAATGAATACAAATTAACCTTTGAAAATAAGATTTCAGTTCAGGTTTCTACTTCATTATGAATTCTATTCTGTATAAGAACTTTGATCAACATTTCTATGTGATCTGTGAATTGACAAAATCTTGATTTAATTAGCAGAGATGGATACTGGCTAGCAGTGGAATCCAGGACGCGCGTTTCGTCCTATCTGGGACTCGTCAGCTGGATGTACCTGCATCTCAGAGTTGATGTTCATTCAAATAGGACGAAACGCGCGTCCTGGATTCCACTGCTAGCCACTATCCATCTCTGCTAACCATGCTTGTGAATTAAAGTATATCGAGGCAATACGCACAGTATGCACATACGCCAATTAGAGACTGACCAGTTGCAGTCCTAACAAATCGATGGGAAGATTCAAACATGCAATACTAAGTTGAATTTAAACTTCACCCCATCGCACAAGAAAGTGGCTAACAGGACTCAGTGGCCGAGCGGATAACGCGATAGCTTTTGAAGCGAGTGTACTGAGTTCGAGTCCCAGAGTGAACATCAACTCTGAGATGCAGGTACATCCAGCCGACGAGTCCCAAATAGGACGAAACGCGCGTCCTGGATTCCACTGCTAGCCACTATCCACCTCTGCTAACCATGCTTGTGAATTAAAGTATATCGAGGCAATACGCACAGTATGCACATATGCCAATTAGAGACTGACCAGTTGCAGTCCTAACAAATCGATGGGAAGATTCAAACAAACAATACTAAGTTGAATTCTTGATTTAATTGTTTGTTGATTCATCACTCTATGAAGGTCTTCTATCTGATTGTAAGAGAATAAAAGAGAGAAATGATAAATCTCATATCATTACACCATTGTAACTCAAAGTCCACTATTTCAATTCACTGTATATAAGACAATGATAATGTGATTATTGCTATGTACGGGAGAGTACACTCAAGAGTTATTTAGACATGCTTACATCTGTTCTGGGTATTGCTTCACTAATTACCCTTCTTGAAGCTCATATTTCAATAAAGAACGAAAAGTTTGAACCATTGTCAGATGACATAATCTCCTACATCAATAAACATGTAGGTATTTCCCCCTTGTGGTTATGTTAGAAATCACATAAATTGTAAAGTGATATATGTTGTATCTGTGCAGAACCAATGGTTTTATTGTTAACTACCGATTGAGTTAGAATAGATCGATTACTTTAAGAAGTAACTTGACTGTGTGCGAAACGGTATTCGCCTAACAATAATGTAAAATCATTCAGAGGATTCCTTCTTAGAAATTGGAACTACTTTTTAGTACCTCAAATTTGCCTCTAACTGTTTCGTACGCCATCAGCTTAATACTGATTTGATTTCATATATCTGAATTGAATACAACAACCGACGGTTGAAAGAGGAACAATTCTAAATATTCGTATTTGAATTCCATTTTCAGCTCAAAGTTATCATAATTGTCTCACATTAAATTTTTGATTTCAACTTGTTCATTTTTCAGCCGAATGCTGGATGGAAAGCTGAGAAAAGCAACCGTTTCCACTAACTGGATGATGCACGTATTCAGATGGGTGCAAGAAGAGAAGAACCAGAATTGAGGAGGAAGAGACGTCCCACAGTTGACCATAATGATTGGAATGTAGAAATTCAATCCAATTTCGATTCCAGGAAGAAATGGCCTGGTTGTAAAAGTATCGCGACCATTCGTGATCAATCACGATGTGAATCATCTTGGGTGAGTTATATTGACCAAATTATTTGAAAGATGTATGCAATGTTGACATGAGTATTATTATTTCTACATATCTGTGACTGTGTAGAGGATCTCACAGACGTCAGACTGTATCATAGTGAGATATTCTAGAGAAATAATTTCTTGAAATGCTGTAGAACAGCACTGATGTCAATTTTGAGTATTACATCTGTGAACATATGTCCGGTGAGCAAACCAACTAACGAAACAGATCATGTTGGACTCAAGTGGCTTATAAATGTTGAGTAGTCATTCCAGGTTAACATGCTGTGAAACCTAATACGTCTTGATATTGACATTACTTTCTTCCAGGCTTTCAGTGCTGTCGAAGCAATGAGTGATCGAAGCTGCATACAGTCAGGTGGCAAACAAAATGTCGAACTGAGTGCTGTTGATCTATTGAGCTGTTGCGAACATTGTGGAGATGGTTGTGAAGGTGGGTTTCCTGCTCTTGCTTGGGATTATTGGGTGAAGGAAGGTATTGTTACTGGAAGTTCGAAGGAGAATCACACAGGCTGTCAACCATATCCATTCCCAAAATGTGAGCATCATACCAAAGAAAAGTATCCTGCATGTGGTGAGGAAATCTACAAGACTCCTAGTTGTGAAAACACTTGTCAGAAAAGTTATAAAATCCCATACGCTCAAGACAAACATCTAGGTAAGTAATGTTTTAGACAATGATTGACTTGTCACTAAGATAGATCGATCAACTTAAGGTCTTCTATATCTGAATTGCACATGAACTTTTCTCACTCATAATTAGATTTACGAACAGGTAATGTAACCACAGTTTACATACAGTGAATAAGTATATTCACCTGCACTCTGACCGTTCGATCTATGAGGATGGAGAACAAATCTTGAACAGTGATACAAGGAACGTAGTTAGTGATAATATTATGAACTCCCTCACTTGAGAATTATTGCAACTAAGTTTGTATTCTTGTTAACATTTTATGGATTAAGGCATGTTTTTGGAACAAAAATATTTACTGGCAGCAATGAAACTTAGAGCTGGCGTGATGGTTGTTCTTCTGGTCCGTAAAATGTCGCATAAGTCGATCAACCACATCGAGAGTTCATTTCGCATAGATGTATCACCAATCTTTCAAGTGATTACATATATTTCAATGTAGTTTGTTAGAATATTCTACATTGATTTCCACAGAAAGTTTCTCATCATATATAAGCAAACAATTGCTTGGAATTAATGCTTCTACATATGAAGTAATCATCTTGGAGATTACTTTTGAAAGGTCTCTATTGAATGAGTATAAATACAAAATAACTTGACATCGATGGTGTTATCCTTCTATGAAGTATACTTCATAGTTACTGTTAACCGTCATTTCGTTTTCATGTTCAAATATGTGAATAGCTTCAGACTAACAATACGAGGATAATCCATTTACTTTTTCATTATAACCCAAGACCTACCAATCTCATTACCACCGTTCGAAGCCGGCTCAGTGGTCTATCAGTTAAGGGCTCTGGCTAGAGACTGGTAGATCCTAGGTTCGAATCTCGCTCGCGAGGCTGGATCGTGGGTGCACACTGCTAAGGAGTCGCACAACAGGATGAAGCGGCCATCCAGTGATTCCAGGTTTTTTATGGTGGTCTAGCTATACTAAAATCTCCACAAAACCCCTTTTTCCATTATATCTGATAATAGTTTCATTTTCACAATCGTTTTATTCATATCTTAGGTAAATCATCCTACAATATTGATAATAATGAAAAGGCTATTCAAAAAGAAATCATGAAATATGGACCAGTTGAAGCAAACTTCATCGTTTATGAAGATTTTCTTAATTACAAATCTGGAATCTATAGACATATTACTGGGAAATTAGTTAGTTGACACGCTATACGTATTATTGGATGGGGTGTAGAAAACAATACTCCTTATTGGTTAATCGCAAATTCATGGAATGAAGATTGAGGTGAAAATGGATATTTCAGAATACTAAGTGATCGTCATGAGTGCTCCATTGAATCCGAAGTAACAGCCGGTCGAATTAACGAATAACACAATCTCTGAACATCATCACAAAATGTTAGAGTTATTTAAGTCATTACGAATGTATACTGAATACTTCAGAGACATCTTTTATATTCATATTATCTTTTTATTCGTTTTATACTACTAATAAACTGTTGCGAATTCTTACGAAACTCCTTACTGAATTGGATGTATTTGTTAGCTATATTATCGTTACAGGAAATTCATTCAGAGTACCAAAGTGATAGATGAACTACTTAATCGTTATCTACAAGCTTTCATTGAACGAATTACTCTTGATCCCAATTACATGTTTACTGAATTGAATTCATACATTCAATTTTACCATTCTAAACCATTCTAGAAAATGATACGTGTTCTCACTAGGTTATCCACTTCAAAATAGAAATTAATCATTTCCATTTATGGAAATTCCTCATATATCAATTAAGACTGGTAAGTTGCATAAGATTGCTAATGATGCAATCTTGAATATGGTAACTCTGCCTAAATGAGTACACATCTATTGATTCAATGTCCATAATAAATGATGAAAGTAATTGTGGAACTAGAAGTACAACTGTGGTGAACTACATCAGAAATGGGAACAATCGAATGTATGTGGATACAAAATTACAGAATCTCTTAATAAAATCTCAGAACCATACAGTAAATACTTCATTTGCAAAACGTTGATTAATTGTTTCAGACTTCATTATTCTTTCGTTTCCATACTAATCATTCTCTGTTTTCATTCGATCTTCTCAACCTTTCACTTTCAATTGATATCCAAGAACAGGAGCTGCTTGGATTTCTTGATTGGAAATTGAAGGAGTATAGGATATTGACATACAATTCAGGTTGTTTATTACAGAGATATCATTATAAAGAGAATGGTGACGTGCAAAGATGCCACAAATTTATCAGGAACATTTAAACTGTCCAGCTTTTGCACATATTCTAAACTATCATTTTAAATAGTAGGGAGCTAGCTTCTTGAGGACTGGTCTTAAACACCATCTGAACCGGTAGGCGACTTTGTGAAAAGGTAACCTAGTTATAGATAATAATGGGTTCATTCGGATGTTAGATTTCTGTATTGTTATTATTTGATTAGTTTATTTTGTCATGAGGTCTTCACCAAACTTTATGTACTTCAAAACAATCTCTTGATCCATCAGTTTCTTTTTTCCCATTCAGTTAAACTCTTCAAATCCTATCTAGTTGTTATGTAACCCACCTTTTATCAATCTCTAATTATAGACAATTATCAACTATCTTTGTATATTTATTATCAAGTGATTTGAATCTTATGTACACTGTTTATGACTTGTTTCTGAAATTCGCTTCATTACTGCTTAAACCAACCGCCTGTTTTTTTGTTTAAATCTACCTATAAATGACCTTACACTTGTTCTTGCATGGATACATCTATATATAGTTATTATTGATAATCTAAGTTATTATAATTTTTCTTTTCGTTACCATGATAAACTATTTCACATTATATCATACCTTAACATATTAGTTGTTGTAAGTAGTTAATAAGCAACCATAAAACATAAGGACGCGCATTTCGTCAGCTTGATGTGCCTGCATCTCAAAGTTGATGGTCACTCTGAAAATCGAACACAGTACCTTTCGCTTCAAACGCTGACGTGTTTCAAATAAGACGAAACGCGCGTCCTAAATTCCACTGCTAGCAACTATCCATCTTTGCTTATAACTGGTACGATGTTTATAATGGAATAAAAATGTTCGTTAACTGATATTTTCTTTCCTTTCAAAATATATCAGGATTCTTATCTTGAAAACATCTAGATTGGTTGATTAATTTGTTTTCAGATGAATACTGTGTAAATAGTTTATATTATTTTGGAACTATTGTCTTGTGTCACAATGGAAAGCCTCCAACTTTACAGAGAGTAAAGAACCTATCGTTGAAGAAGAGATATAAGAATAAATTTGTAATTTTTATAAGAGTTCCTTTGAAATTTGTATCGAGGATAACTGTTAGTGGTTGGTAAGTATTCTGCACTTATGTCAAGTAGATTGCCTAGAACCTACTCTACACAAACCATGTTAAGACCTCCGAAAGCTGACTACCTTCTTGCTCACCAAAAGATGAGTCATGATATTTCGAATTGATGAACATGGTAAGAGTTTGATGTTAGAATAAAAAAACACAACAATCACACATAAACTAATTCATGTGTACGGGTTTCTCAATCATCATAAGATTTTCACAATTGAATGATCATTAGGCAATGACTAATGTCATGTATTTCAAATCCTTCTACGTATTATTCGAATTCTATCGACACATTTTGAAATGTAGCTATTAGTCTAAGTGACTTTACATTGCATGCATTATGCTGAGATATAAAGAGATGGTTGGAGATGACGATCAATTCAAGAGCTCACTGTGCTTCGAACAATCGGTTTTCCTCACCATGTCAAAATATGTCAATAAACTGAAAATCTTCCATCTTAAGTAGGTGGCCATACTTATTTATTTTTGTATTTAAACACATAAATATTGGTACAAGGAAGCACCAGATATATATGCGCTGCACAAATCAAATGAGATTTGTGTGAAGGCTGTGATACTGCTCAGGTGCCCAAACTGAAGCAGATGGATTTCTTAGGGGCCACACCTGGAGTCTTCGACCTAAAGATCTGATCCACAAGGCAATGGAGCATAGTGGGGAGATGCAGTCTCACAGTAGCCAGTGACCAGTGATTGATTCACATGCCATTTGTTCCATCAGGATACTGGAGTCAGCCCATGTGGACCATTGGTTTGGAATCAGGATTTTCCAACTCCCCTAGGTGGACTCTCAGTGTCAACCAACCCGGTTAAAGCGCCGGACATTCGCTTTCCGTCCTCTCAATTTCGTAAACAACACCCCCACCACGAGAAAGCAGTGAGTAGTACTTCCCTAGCAGAGGCCATACATAAGAACATAAGTAAAATTTTCTGTAAATAGTCTAAATTTGAAAAAAATTTCTCAATATTTTTTACAAGTTTAGTTCTTATTCAGAACTTTTTTAACATATATATGTATGTACATTATCTATTCAGTCCATTTATGCAAACATTCAACATTGGTACAAACATAATATAAACGCATATTTTCTTCAGCTTTCAATGTTTGTGATTGAAAAAATACAGCTTCTTGTTTACCGCATCGACGACATATATGATCTTCTGTTCGAGGCAATGTTGGATCATGAACAACATCCGGTACAATTAAAGCTAATTCACTTCAGATGGATAAAATAGATATTTTTTTGATAAAAAAAATATCCATGAATCAATGAACAGAAAATGATTATAATTTAAAGTTACACATTATATCAAAGTTGAAATCATGAGTCAATTGAAGCTAGATCATTATCGAAAACCCGGAAGCACTGGATGGCCGTTTCCTCCGGGTATGGGACTCCTCAGTAGTGCGCATCCGCGAACCCGCACTCGCGAAATTCGAACCCAGGACCTACCAGTCCCGAACCAGAGCCCTAAACCGATAGAACACTGAGCCGGCATCCGATGATGTTTATGTCTAACTCCAAATAGTCCACGAAGTTGAGCAAGCGTTCACCAATCGTCTTCAGTGAGTTGTTATCTCACAACAGACGTGGTTGAACTCCACTGGTCACTGCTTCCCACTAGAACTCCAAGGTTCGAATCTCGCGAGGGCGGGATCGTGGATGCATACTGCTGAGGAGTTCCATAATAAGATGAAACGGCTGTCCAGTGCTTCCAGTTTTTCCATGGTGGTCTAGCTTCAATTGACTCATGATTCCAACTTTGAAAAAAACACTGAAATCTCCACAAAACCCCTTCTGATTACACATTTTATACAAGTTAACATGGTCGAGACTATGAAACTACTAGGTCTTACTAGCCTTTGAAATTGTATGGGGTAAACTCTTTATTCAAACATCATATTTGTCACAAGATGATTAATGTTTGGATAATACTGAAAAACTAGGCCGTATTTATGATACTTTTACGGAAACTTTAAACTTTCCACACCGAAATACTTTACATGGAGTGAAGGTATGGAACCGTCATTATCCATATTGTCAAACAAAACGTGGGATGTGGAGCCAATCACCCCATTGTACTATTCTATCTTCATTTTCTAACAATGGTTTTCGTGAACTGAATTCGGAAGAGTTTCGACATAGTAATGAGGATCTGTTACCTTGACAAAACCTTTCAGAGCCGAAACATGGGTTAACCATCTTGTTTTTACAACACGAAGAAAGTTTGGTATCCGTAATCACGGAATCCCCTGAGAATCATCTATATCCAAAGTACATGAACCAACATGACAGCAATCAGTCGCTCCACCCATCAATTGAAGCAAATATTTTGTGAACAGTGAAAAAGTTTCTGAACTTGGATGTGGCTAGTGGCAGTAAGGTAAGGGAGATTATTCTACCTAAATCAAAAACCGATCTTTGACACCAAGACAAAACTTTGCATTCATCAACAACATAATGTAAGGAATCCTGAGTTACACTACTTATGCTTTGAAATTAAGGAGACTATGATTCCTTGACCAATATTTCATTAACCATCTCCCTGGTATTTTCGAACTTATCATTACCGGATGAAAAGAGTTGAACTGTTATCATATGATATAGTGGGATGGTATGACATGATTGTGCAATATAGTCAGTCAGGTGGAGTCTCTGAAGTTGTGAAACTAAGTAACTTGAAACCCTATAAGTTGATGCAAAATAGACGAAACAAATAATAAGGTTCATCTTTGAATTGCACTAAACATTAGTTATATTCTCACTGGAATCCCGTCACTGTCAAAACAGTGGTTATCTCATATTTTCTCTGATGATTCTCATATTTATGTATACAGAACGCTGAATTATGACATGATTAACAGTTATTATAAGAACGCTAGTAAGTGGAATGAATAAAGAAAAACGACTAAAAACAATAGTATGGATACTTACTCAACTTCTTGTTCCAGTTTATTGATATAAACACAGGGATTGTCTGCTTCTTGAGAATAATCACAGTTACGACAAGCGTAGTATAATGTTTTTGTGCGTTTATCCTCTTTAGGATACAACATATTGTTGCATTCACTGCAGAACAAAATCCCAACATGACAATGGTTTGGTTTTACATCATACTAAAATATAGGTTAGAAACGGTATCAGTAGAATTTCTTGAACATACGGTTTCCATCTTTAGTAAATCAATCCTTCAAGCGTACTTCTCGAAAAGGTCAAAAATTCCAATCAAGTTAACTACAATATTAAAAAATCAAACGATCACAAATTATCTAACTGAATTGCGAAAATTGACAAGATATTTGATGAACACCTAATAATATAAATAATTTATTTGATACAGTCAGTCAGTTATGTGCAACGTAAAACCTAGAATGCCCCCAAACGCCCTGGTACGACCGAGAAAGGTGAGAGTCCGCTCTCCCTCTCGAAATACCCTCACATGGCCACGCGTATATAGCCTCTGTCAGCGAAGTCCTACTTACTGCATTCTCGTGCCATTACTGTTGCTTACGAATTTGAGAGGACGAAAACCGAATGTCCGGCACTTTGACCGGGTTGGTGGACACCGAGATGAAATAGAAACCCCTGATTCTAAACCAATGGTACACATGGGCTGGCTCCAGTATCCTGAGGGAACAAATGGCGTATGAATCAATCGTTGGCCACCGACTACCATGGGACTGCATCTCCTCACGATGCTCTACTGCCTTGTGGATCAGATTTTTAAGTCAAAGGCCCAGGGTGTGGCCCCCTAAGAAAACCATCTGCTTCAATTCGGGCATCTGAGCAGTACCACAACCCTCACGCAAACCGAGTGAGATTTGTGTGGCGCATATGTATCTGGTGCTTCCTTGTACCAATATTTATGTGTTTAAATAATAATAATAATAATAATAATAATAATAATAATAATAATAATAATAATAAAACCTAGAATATATATGCGTCGGCTCAAAATGTAACAACATTAGCAGTGAGGTAAAATTATCAAGACAAATTCCATTGTAGTAGTGACAGTATTGGTAATAGAAAAAAAGGGAGGTTTCGTAAGGCACTTAGTGATTTCATGGACTAATCCAACGTTTTGGTTTGGTTGCCCAAAATTTACATCCAAACTGCTTCTGCACCAAGCAACATCGCACCCCAAGGTAGGCAATAGTTGTGCGTACGTAATACATACTCCCACTACTTCAGTTGATCAATATTCACTGCCTTAACAGCTGGTGTCCCAAGTTTACCTAATAACACAGGCTTAACGATGATAGCGTTATTTCTAAAATAATTTCTATGAGGAGGTTAAATAAAAATGGAGAAAGTGGAGAAACTTGACGAAGACCGCTTAAGGTTGTCAATTCTCATGACAGCTAATCATAAGCTCTGACTCAACCAGAATCTTGTAAGCAAACATCCTGTACAAGGTTGAAATACTCCTTTGATACGCCACTTAATGACAAACTGCCACATAAACTCTCAATCATGAGTTCTATTTATTTATTTGAACGCATAAATATTGGTAAAAAGGGGCACTGAATACATATGCGCCACATACGTCACTTGATTGGTGTGTGCACTGTGATACTGCCCGGGGGCCACACCTGGAGCCTTCGACCTAAAGGTTTAATCCACAAGGCAGTATAGCAACGTTACGAGATGCAGTCCCATAGTAGTCGGCGACCAACAATAGGTTCATACGCCATTTGTTCCGTTAGGATCCTGAAACCCATGTGCACCATTGGTTTGGAACCAGAGTTTTCCAACTCCCCTAAGTGGATCCCACATATCCGCCAGCCCGAGAGGTTTTCTGGCAGTGTCTTATTGAAGTGTACCTCAGAAGTACATAAATCCTGTGAAGGCTCTTTACTCGAACACTACCAGTTAGGTCAGTGCATACGGCGAACCGTCATCTGATTTTGTAACCTCATGTGGTGTCCAACAAGACTTTCCACTATCTCCATTTTAGTTCAACTTCATCATAGACATACTGATGGAAATAACGTTCCCTTCGACTGAGTTTTCGGGCATTGATCTCCTATCAGGATATCCACTTATCGACCTAGAATGATATAGATGATATAGTTCTGTTTGGTAGAGACGCTGACAAAATGCAGTCTTTTGGTAGCATTGAGTAACAATGCCAGGATGTTTAGAATGCGTTTCTCCACCTCAAATGCAAGTTGTTACTTCGGAACTAGCCTGCATCAACACCTGAACTAAGGATTTTGGAAGTCTGATTAGTCCTCATGGATTAGTGTCTGACGAAATTTCAGCACTGATTCAAAAAGCTTGTATGGTTTTTGCCAACTTACGTCACCTATGGCGAAGACGAGATATCCGTATATTAATTAAGGGACGAGTATATTGCGCAGTTCGTTCTGTTATACTTTACGGCTGCGAAACGTGGCCATTAAGAGTAGAAGATACTAGTAAGTTACTAGTATTTGACAACATGCCTTAAGAATATTGATCGCATCTACTGGGATTACGGGGTAAGTAACAGTGAGGTTAAACACAAGTTATGAGGGAATAATGGTAAATCAGTTGATGAGGTTGTGAATACTCATCAACTGAGATGGTTGGGTCACGTGTTACATATACCTGTGTGGCGCATATGTATCTGGTGCCCTTTTGTACCAATATATGTGTTTAAATAAATAAATAAATATACCTGAACATCTATTACCATGATGCGTTATGCTGATTAGTATTGGGGATGGTTGGAAGAAAGTTAGGGGTGGCTTGAAGTCACTAACTTCTAGTCTGAGCCATGTTGGTAGATGCAGACTACTTGGTTGGGGTCCGCGCGACTACCATAACCAATGTCTGGAGACTGTGTGACGGCTCACAATCGACCGCAATAGCGCAGGTGTATACACTCTCTGTCTTACCTTAAACTATGAGATTAAAATTGTTTCATATCTTTTTTCCTGTACTATATCCTTATATACAATCTTTCTTTTGTATATTACCACCATTAAATTACCTACTTCTATGAATTCGGTGTTCATCTTGTTGGGCTGATGAGGTATGGAGACTTGGACAGATGCATATATGTGCCTGGTCCTACGTTGTAGCTGACTGACTAACAAGGTTAAAGCGACGAACACTTGCTTTTCGTCCTCTCAATTTTGTAAACAACACCCCAGTGGCGAAACAGTGAGTAGAACTGCTGTGGCAGTGGTTGCATGAACGTGGTCAGGTGAGAGCATTTGGAGAGGGGGAGCGGACTATCCCCGATCTCGGCTGTGCCAGGGCATTTGGGGGCTTAAGGTCAACGAATATAACTATAATCATGCATTGGAAAGTATACCCAATTTTCAAAACCTGATAAAGTGTAAATATTTAATCGAGGTCTGAAAATAGCCTGGTTTTCTTGTTACCTAATTAAAAGTCAGATGATCAGAGGTTAGCATTTGAAACACCATATTATTCAAGCTGATTCAAGTGGTTCCCAAAAGAGGAACTTTGCTCTGTTTAATTGGAACAGAGACTGAGACACGCCAAATGGGATTAGGCCGTTTCCAGATATTAGCCAATGTTTCAGTCAACTTAATTGGAGAAACTGTACCTCCATCCATAAGTTTCCCCAATGCTAATCCAACATGACTTGCCTCAATCTCCTGCTTTAAATTACTTATAATCTTTTGAAGATAAGAGTTGAGGCACTTGTGTCAATTTGCTTTACAGGTTGTCTGGAGATAGTAGATAAGCAAGCAGAAATTGGAGAACAGCTAAAATATTACGTGAAATGTTCTGTTTATCAGTCTAATTTCCACGATTAGGAGTGAGTGGCTGTTCACCGTTCGGCGAAATAGTTTCACTAACTACTAAATACCTAACTTTCCTAACTGAAAGAATCTTCTGGTTGTACATTTCAGCCCGCCTTATCTTTTCATCCTTTATCTACCTACTTTCATTATTTTGTGTGGCGCATATGTACCTGGTGCCCTTTTGTACCAATATATATGTGTTTAAATAAATAAATAAAATATCTTCGATAAGTCTGAATAGTCATTTACTATAACCTACCGCGGCTATCTTTTCCGCCAACTTTCCTTTGGGGAGAATCGACCACTAAAAAGATGGTGTTGTGTCCTGTTAGAAGCATGAGGATAATTGTCACTCTCCAGTTGCACAAGCTGTAGGAAAACGCTTTATGAAGGATGTGAATGATAGACCAGATTAGTAGTGATCTTAGTAACCTAAGATATAACTGCTTGAGTTCGACCACGCATGACCTCTTATGAGGTAGTTTAGATAAATCGGCTTTGTACTTCAAAAGGCCTTATCACCAGACAGAAATCAGTAGGTGAGGTAAAAAATTCTAGAGTTCATATTTACTAACTCTTTCCTTTCGTTGTGAGAAAGCAGAATCGTTGCAAGTGCCAGTTTCTCGAAGAAAAAAGATATAGTCAGTACTTATAATTAGTACCTTAAATCGTTGGCGGCGTAGAAGAGTAAACTTTAATACATTGGAAGAGAAAACTTACTTAAACAACCAAGTCAAAAGTGAACTGCACACTGATCGACGCAAACAGCTTGTCACCAGAAACAGCCATTCATCACGGAAAGTTACTATATTTCATACCAACATTTCTTGGAAAAAATTCGGTAGACCACTACATGTAAGATTTTTAGTGACTAGTTCACCTTGAGATCAAGGTTTCAGAAAAACAGATCTTTTTACAAACTCTGTGTAAGTGAAGTGAAGTGAATTCAAACCTGACAATGGTTCATAAGTCTCGGATGCAAAATCCAGCAGCAAAGTACGTACTAATGTATTACGTTCGAAAATTTTAGTGAAATGAGAATATGAATGAACGGTTTCTTCACTAAACTTATTTTTAAAATTCGGCCATTGTCAAAGTGATGTCATAAAGATACGATTTGGGTGAAAGTTTCGGAACTTTTGAGTTACATACCGCGAACCAAAACTGAGTTAAACAGTATCAGTTTTGTGCATTGTGAAGTCGGAGTACAGGGTATTACATTCACAAAAGAAAGGAAAATCTAAAAGTTAACCTTAAGTATCCTAACGAACAACCTTGGGGCATTTACCACTAGAACGGGACATCGCAGAGGACATAACAGACAAGTAGAAAAGCCAAGAACGTGTAAAATACACGAGGCATACAAATTTTCACACCGAGTCATCAATTATTGGAACCTGTTACCCGAAACAATGGTGTCCACACCTTTGATTGACTCATTCAAGAGAAGATTAGACCCTCACAGAAGCATACTAGAAAAGGAATAACATAGACCTTAGGTTTTCTGTCCTTACTACACAAATCTGAATTACTGTTCGTACCCACAGCTTACATACTTTAACTTAGACAGTGATAAGGTGTAAGGAAAGACAATTGACGAGAACAGTACGCTAACAGCACACACATGATCGACTAAGGAGTATAAAATTTATAAGTTATACACTTTCAAATGGACATGAATAGTAGAGGTAAAGGTACCATGAGTTCCCATGCAAAACAGCTTTGTTTTTGACTTTATAAATTGATTAGTTCACAAAAAAGACACAATTGCTGATGAATGAATTACCAACATTGGATTTCTATAAGAGAAATCATTTTACACTAACCTCCAGGATCATTTAATTTACCGCGTCGAAACATTGATACAAGTGGTTCAAGTGATTCTTGAAAGAATAGAAGAAACGTTCACTTAACGGGCTTCCGTATCTAGTAGTAGTGGATCACTGATACCTCCAGGTAGTGACTTAGGTATATTAAGGATAAAAGACAAAAAAGAAAATATGTCGGTAAATCATAATGAGATACTGTCCTCAGTCCTTTAGAATATGTCGAGTTTTCGCTTAAAGAGCACCTTGAGTGATGCTTGAACTAGCTCACCCTGCAGCAAATATCAGCGTTTGACTACTCTTAATGAGTGGAAGGTGTGTCTACAGTGCGTTCTGCTGTGTTGGGTCTCCAGCTAATGGGTATTACCCCCAAGGTTTGTATTGGGACTAAACATCAGTAGGTGTTTAAGGATATGTGCATAAGTGTTCAAGATGTTGTACGTAATTAGAATGTCACGTCTAAAACGCCTGTATTTTAATTAGTTAAGGTTCACTGCTCTTCATAAGACTTGAATTCGAGTCCCCAAACTAATTTTGTGGCTGACCGTTGGATATGTTCCAGAGTATGCTTATCCATTTGGATTGAGGAAGAAAATATCATGTTTCTGTGCTCTAAATGTGGACGAATAAATCTAACGAAGTTTAAGTGGAGAGCTTTTCCATTGAACTGACGGAAAATGCGCCTAAATGTTACCAGCGCAAGGTTTTCTCGAAAGGCATTTTCGTCACAGACTTTAAATAGTAGGGTGTCAACACTCCTAGACTTTTTTCAACTCGGGATACTTCTAGATGAAAGTCATCTAAATTGTATGTGCAATCTGTAACATGTCTCAGATGGACTGCATTGCACTTTGGAGTGTTAAAGTTAAGTACGTTGTAGTCTTCTCAATCTTGGTAGGAATCAGAGGCTCCTGAATTGCCAGGTAATACTTTAAGTTGCCGACTTTCTTTTACAGTTTCACACAGTTAGTGAAAAGTAATAAATATGAAGACGCTTGCTGTGGAAGATAGTTTATACAAACCAAGAAAGGAAGTCTCAGTACTGAACCTTGGGGGACTCCACTAGGATATTCCATAGCCTGAGGGAGAGTAGGGTTAACCCTGACCTTGAAAAGTTGATTAGTTAGATATAAAGTGAGAAGTCAAGATATATGACATCAGCCTTCCTATTACGGTCAAAGATGTTTGTCCACCTGTCCACCGCAGTCAGCGGGTTAGTTATATGAGACTGACGATTTCGAGAAACCATGCAGTTGTAGCAAAAGGAAGTTTGTGGATAACAGGTAGTCAGGTAGACCGTCACACATCAAGGACTCCATAAATTTTAAGGGTACTGAAGGGAGTCCCTGCGGCCGGTAGCTGGAAGGTTTTTTGGCGATAGTTAAAGCAGCATTTTTGTAATTAGTTTTATTACTATTTGTATTTTTTTTATCAGTTATTACGATTTGTACCATTATCATTATTGCCCGCAAAACTTTTGTTTAAAAAACATAACCTTTGACCTTCCGTTCCTATTTGCGAAGACACATAACATGATCTACTGAATATCGCTGACAAATACTATGCTGCACACATGGATTGTTCGAGTTTCTGTACAGATTGATCAGGCATTTTATCCAATCAGCCTTGACTAGACGTTGTGCTAGAAACATCACGAAAGTAAAAAGTCACATGTGCAGTTTCTGATTGACTGATTACTACGCTGCTACTGTGTTTAGTAGCATTCCATAATTTTCAGAAAATACTTGGGATCTCTTAAAAACTGTAGAAACCCTATATTTTTTTTATATAAATGAACCTTTGGAGTAAAGCGCTTCTGGCCTATTTTGCGCCCTTTCTCTTGTGTTCAAGTAGCTGTGTAGATTTAGCTTGGTTAGGGTTTAAGAGACTGGCTTAGGATCCCAGTATAGCGTTCAATTAGCAAAAGTCATTACCTCAGTATAGAGAAATAGGCCATATCCGGAGAAGTGTCGATTTGTAGGTGATACAGCATCCAATTCAACAAGTCAACAGTCAAGTTCACTTCTGAGAGTCTTGTTGAGTTGCAAGTGAAGCTCTCATCAACAAAGTTAGTATGGATCGGTTGATACGTTCGGAAACTGTTCTGCTAGAAGATGGGTGGCGTCATCATACTTGTCGGTTAGGCCATTTGGACCTAGAAGTTGGGAAACGCTGGTTTTGTTCAGTCGAATAGAGGCTGCATGATGGAATAAGGTTTTTGGATCCGATACAAACTTATCGATAAGCTTTATCCGATACTGGAGCTTGTCTTCTATTACGTTTGTGCGTTAGTTCATTTCCGATATACCATATTCTCAGATCAATCGCATCAGGAACATTCCAAAGGAATCTCTCGAGTCGTTGTTTTGTTGAAGAAATATTACTGTACAAAGTGTCCGAGAAAAGACGGACCCTAGTTATGCGGATTACGATATTCTAGGGTGTAATTTCATAAAAGAGTTCTTGAAGCTAAGAACATGTTGACCTAACAAGTGTCTGCGTCATCACCTTGTTGGTAGACAACCACGATAGTAGATTTGACAACTACTGTCATATCAATGTTGCACCACTGAACAGTAGGTCTAGCTATCTCGATCATTTGCTCTCTTTCTATTTGATTCAGATGCAATGGACACACGAGTGATTTCTTGCAAACACAGGACTTGCTGATGATTTACTGGATCCAGAGGAAGTTGATCACTAAGATGGTCAGAGGCAGAGTTAAGAATTTAAAGGTTTTTCGGACTCCATTCTTGTGTAGCATACATTAACTAGTCCATCTCAAAACTTTCATCTGGTGTGCTTCTTCCTTAAATTTTCTCACATCCTGCTTCTCTGTTTATTCAGTAGCACGCACAGTGGTACCGTCAGTATCAGTGCTTACACTATCACTAGAAGTATGACTAACAGAGGTGAAAGTCTTAATTCAGAAGTTAATAATAATATGTCGAAAATTCTTAATTCTATCAGCGGGACTGTAAGATAGCTGTGTGTGTGCATATGATGATCAGAAGTATTTGAATTGTAGTATGAACTAGTAATCCCAGGAATAACGCAATTTAATCAAGAAGTATCAGATGAGCCCGAACGAATGTATTGTATTTGGAATTCAAAATTACAACAGTCATCAATACTAAGAAGTCATTGATTTATTTAAACACCACAACCGCCACAGCTCGAATTGGAGTGTAAGTATCTGTAATCGATTGTTCGTCTTCTTAAATTCATCTTACATCGGTCCGAAAGTGTATTGGACGTAGACTCTGTATTATCTAGAATGCACTCATTAGTATTAGAATTAACAACCAAAATTGGAACAGACTCACCTGGGTTCTGGAATTGTATACAATCAGCATGCCGGCTTTGTAGTGAAACCATTGATATTTGGAATTTGCATCATAGAATTTCCAACAATATCCTCCCCCACGAAATAATGTTGGGTCCTTATGTCGCAATGTTTTAACCAATATGACATTTCCAATTTGCAGTATCTTCTCAAATCTCACGCATCGACTACTGTATATGAGTATTTGGGAATAAACACTGATATATAATTTGAGGTATTCCATCATGTGACTTTGACTTGAATAAAAATCATGATACATATTCTTTTTGTTATTCATATTAGAATACACAGATGGATATGCATTGATATATGTAATTAACACATGTGATTCAACTAGGCTTGATTTACCTGCGAAACAATCGAATAGAAAACATTCATCTGCCTCATATTCATTAGGATAATTTTGGACTTGATTTGGATTCTCTGTCTGTGCAAACTTCACTTCTGGGCAAACTGGTTCTCTGGTTGCTTCGGAAAATTTTGCCATCCCCTCTGTATCATTATACCCCTGACTAGGGATTCTATTCAACATGCATTGTTCGTGAGAGTATCCAACGTATGACACAATAACATCAGAAATATGACTAGAATTCAACTCATAAGAAACATATTTTTCACATTCATGAGGAATATCATTAGAGATAAATTCATTATGAGGACCACTGACACTTGATATGATATCAGAATTCGATTCTTCTGAAATATTTTCCTCAAATTGATTAAGAGTTTCATTAGGTAATGGATCATCAGGGAATTCAACATCTACCATGACTGAATTTGGTTTTTGATCATGATTTGACTCATTGAACATTCTATTCTCAGAGTTCTAAAAAATTACATCAGAAGTATGTGAATTATTACGACAAACCATATCTGGCACAATAACATGAGAAATCTGATAAGTTGATTGGTTGAGAATTTTCGCCTCCCAATGACTCTGGGTTTCATTCAACTCTGGACTGTTATATAACGTTATACCTCTTCTAGATAAAGATAACTGATCATTAGAAGCATCCATCTTAGCATTACTTTCAGCGAAATGAACCATGGTATTACAAACTGACTGAATATGTCCAGTTATACCACATTTAAAGCATTTAGAATTACGAAATATACATGAATTACATGGGTGAAACTTGCCGCAGAACATGCATTTACTAAACTTGTGCTCATCATCATGGACTGTTTCACAACTCAATGAAGTATTATCTGAATAAATTTGATTACGCATCGAACTACGACGACTGTTTGAACAAGTGGAATTCCTGATGTTCTGACGAGTCATTTTATCGGATTTTCCTTTCTTACCGCATTCGGAATTTGTATACTTTACATGATCCAACAGAAGTTGCTTGAGAGTTGCATACGGGAGTGAAATCGGTTTGTCTGGAAGTGCCAAAATCTTTATAAGGCTGTATGCTTCTTTCCCGATGAATGTGAGGAAATGGGCCACAATATTAAAATCATCATCATCTTCTTTGGTCATAGCCCAGATTTCGAACCTTTCCATGTACTCCTCAAAAGCATTAAAATCTGAATTTATATTTAACCGTTCCATCACAGGCTCAGTCGCGACGCCAATATAATGATCAGAAGTATTTGAATTGTAGTATGAACTAGTAATCCCAGGAATAACGCAATTTAATCAAGAAGTATCAGATGAGCCCGAACGAATGTATTGTATTTGGAATTCAAAATTACAACAGTCATCAATACTAAGAAGTCATTGATTTATTTAAACACCACAGTGCA